AACTATCTACATACTCCAGCTTTTGAGCTTAAAATGTAGTTCCTGCACACATTCTTGCAAGTAAAACTCATTTGCTGGAATGCACATGGAAAGTAAACACAAGAGTGGTTTACAAACAAAGCACGTTCACTTTCAAATTTAAGTAAATATTTGTGGATAATGCTTCCCATTACTTACACAACTTTAGTGTTAACTAAACAGAAACTACACTAATATGTTGCCTCAACAGGCACTGAAGAGATATCTAAGTTGTTAATTAAGGTTATCATTTCCTCTGGGATTTTTGGAACCTTGTGATTTACTAGATATCTTTTTCATAAAGCTAGTTAGTTAAAAGCAGTAAAGATAGTGAGAGAGCATTCTCAGGAGAAGGAAAGCATATCTTTGTTTCAGTCGAATTCCAAATCCATGGACCACATTCTGCTCTGTTATACCAGATACCTCGGTGTAAAAGAGGGCAGAATTTAGCCCATTTTTCCTTACAGCCAGAGATTATATAATTTTAACTAGGAAGGAATTCTGGAGCCCTAGGAGTGTGAATATAAATGTGGGAAAGAGAATGTTCCAGGAAATACAGGGAAGCGAATGAGCTTTCTAAGAAGAAATATTTGGTCTTGGTGCCACAAGGAGTAAACGGATGCTGTTTGGAACTTCCCCAGCCAAATAACTCCTGTTGCTGCATAGCTGGTTCAATAGTATGGGTATTGGTAAGAGACAAGTATATCCTATAGTGGGAGTGTTTACATTAGGAACATTTTAAAATCTTTCCTACCTAGTGGGAACATCCCCATTGTAGGTTACACTTTTGTTCTTCCAAGTTGCAGATGTGTACATCTACCATTTGTTCAGCTAAAATATGCTGTCAGTGGCAATATATATACTAGTCAGCTGTGGAGCAAGGGCTAGATGCAACTTCTAATGGCAGACCTCAACCCTTTTGAGATGGAACGCATGGACCTGCTTGATAAAGTGGCCACACCTCTCTGTAGAAATACTGACTGAGTGCTTACGTGGGTGAAAGGGCTCCTTCTGTACTTTTCTCCTCTCCAGCTTATGCTGCCCTGTGCTCCAGAGGACAAGATTGAACCTTTAGTATCAAATATAAAAATATTTTGTAAAGATTCCAAAACACCAACAAAATTAGCTTTTTACTTGGTATTTCAGAAGTCTTTCAGCCTTTCTGATTAACAAGAAGCTTTCTAAATGCCTCCCAGATCCAGCAAGAATCCCCACACCTGAGGATCAGATTGCTGAAAAAACTTAAGCCGTAATTCTCAGATGTGGGGACATAAAGCTGGATACTAAAGACACCTGCAGCTCCCATTGACTTCAGTATATTGATTTAGGCACTCCCCAGTTAAAAATAAACTGGCCTTAAATTGTGTTAATCTTAAAACATATGTCTGGGCAGATGGGTGACCTCTGATGTCAAAATAATTCATTTCATGTTAGATATAAAAATTTATTTGTGGCAACACCAGCCCCAGTACCATTTGTACATTCTGGGCCAAATTCTGCTCTCGGCACCCGTGCAGCTCCATTCATTTCACCGGGATGCAAATTAGATCAGTTCATGTCTCTGCCCTCAGATTCATGGGGGCTGCCCAGGTTGCCTCTAATTTTTTTTTCTGTATGAGGAACAAAAACAACTAGAGCTTAAATTTAAAACCCAGGAGTCCAATCTCTCCCACCCCCATTTTCTCCCCCAGGCTACGCTGCTTCCCTTTCTATTCATCTTATTTATCATTCACATATTTTTTCATCTTCCTTCCCGTCCATTTACTAGCTGTCTTTCCTCATATATTTCTCTTATAACTTACATTCCTTGTACGCTCCTTGCCCCCTTTCATTTCCCTTTTCCTCTCTCCATCCTGTATAACCTCCCTTAACTTTCTGTTTGTCTGAGAGAGAGATGTAATCTGTTTTAGGGTTTTGTACTAATGTTTATCACCACAGTAGAGACATATCTCTCTCACTCACACATATACCACTATCATTCACTACTTTCACTCTTTCCGTGGGAGGACGGGGTGCCTTGGGACACCCTTACTTCAGACAGAAGACAGTAGGTGGAGTGGGAGCCCTTAAGCCCCTTCTTCCAGCAGAAAGCAGATGCCTCCTGGCAAATAAAGGTCTCTTGAATGGCTCAAATGTAACTGTGCATGAAGCCTGCCAGCAGGGTGCACAGTGATGCATGTGAGCAAGGTAGTGAGGGAATATTGGTACACGTCTATGTATCTGGTAAACATCAGCTATTGCCTGCAACCTTGTGCACTTCCAGTGAGTTTACAAACTCTATACAAGAAGACTGGGACAAATTCTGCATTGGTGTATGTCTCAAGTAACACCACTGAATTCATTTAAAGTTAGTTTAATGTGGTGAATGTTAGAGCAGAATTTAGCCCAGAATACATTTTGGCATGATAAGATAATAGAATGTATGCGCTGACCTTATTGCTAACTTATAGTGAGGGAGACTACTTTGTAATGAGAATGCTTTCTCCTCAGAAATTATCTTTCTCTAAAAAAAAATTGGGAGTATTAAAACTGTGAAATAATAGAAAGGGTTTAATTGGCAATTAAATAAATAAATTAATGGAGATATCCTATCTCCTAGAACTGGAAGGGACCTTGACCTTGCAATATTAGCTATTCCTGAGATTTCTTTTACAAAACCTCCAAGTTTTCCTTTCTTAAGCTTAACATTTGCAAAATGTAGGAACACCAATTGGTGAAGTGGTTTCTAATATTCATTCATATGTGAACTCAAAGAAATCAGTAAGAAGAAGGGAATCCTCCAGTGTTAGGTGACTGGGTCAGCAGATGGCAAAGGTGACCACTGTAGACAACTTTAAAATAGTTAACCTGGAAGAAGAAATCAAGATAAGAAATAGGCGCCAAATGGAACAGTTATCCAACACAATGATAAGGAAAGGATTTGGGAGTTATTTTGGGTAAAACTGAACATCTATAGCCTAAGTGCACAGCTCTAATAAATAGAGCAAACTACATGTATGTTAGCAAGGGACAGAAAGCAAAATGAATGATCTGACACCCTGAGACCATTATTGAACTGTAACTTGTTGAGTATTACCTGGAATATGGTGCACAGTACTGAGCATCATTCCACAGAAAGTATATTATTGATAAAAGGCTTGATCCTGCTCCATGCAAGTCAGTTGGAATTTTGCCATTGATTTTGATGAGAGCAGGATCAAGCCCTTAGAGAGGCTGCTGCGCTGGGCAACAAATAGAACAAATGTCCAAGTTTTTAGGCAAGGTTGAATGCATTACTGAAAAAGAGAGATTTTTGACAAAACTTAATAATTTTGAAAAAAGATTAGGTAATCATATGAGTAGTGACCAAAAGATGATTTCTTAGGTATCGAGTTTTATATTTGATACAGAAGAGTGGTTCACAAACTAGCAGATGGGCTCTAGAAAGTAGAAAACTGCGATAAACTCAGACAATTCGCTACAGTTGTTGAGCAAAGAATATCAAGGCCAACAGAACACTAGATTTGAGTCTGGGAAAGTTCAAGTGTAAATTAAAGAAGGTGGGCTCAGCTAATAAAATCAGAAGACTTAGATTAAGCAGGGTCAGGTAAGGGCCAGATTGCCTTTTCCTGGTCTTAAAATAGGTTATATACCAGTTTCATATGTTAAGTTAGAGATGTGGGACGAGATCCTCAGCTGGCATAAATCAACATGGCACCATTGAAGCTTCACCGAATTATACCAGCAGATGATCTCGTTCATATAATCAATGTGTATTTTTTCATAGCGATAAATGCTGTTTCATTGGAAGGTATACAAAAGTGATAGTAACCTTCACTAATGTTCATTCACAGGTAATCAAGTGAATAAAATTATTACATATAAATAATAAAAACAACGAGGAGTCCTTGTGGCACCTTAGAGACTAACAAATGTATTTGGGCATAAGCTTTCGTGGGCTAAAACCCACTTCATCAGATGCATAGAGTGGAACATACAGTAGGGAGGTATAAATATACAGCACATGAAAAGATGGGAGTTGCCTTACCAAGTGGGGGGTCAGTGCTAACAAGCCAATTCAATTAAGTTGGACGTGGGCTTCTCAACAGTTGACAAGAAGGGGTGGAAATCACTTTTGTAGTGCTAATGAGACCAATGTAAACAAGGTGGCCCATTTCAAACAGTTGACAAGAAGGTGTGAGTATTTAGCAAGGGGAAATTAGTTTTTATAAAAACAACAAGGAGTACTTGTGGCATCTTAGAGACTAACAAATTTATTTAGTTTTGACCTATCCACTCCCAGTCTTTATTCAGGCCTAATTTGATGGTGTCCAGTTTGCAAATTAATTCCAATTCTGCAATTTCTCATTGGAGTCTGTTTCTGAAGGTTTTTTGCTGAAGAATTGCCACTTTTAAGTCTATTATTAAGTGACCAGGGAGATTGAAGTGTTCTCCTACTAGTTTTTGAATGTTATAATTCCTGATGTCAGATTTGTGTCCATTTATTCTTTGGCGTAGAGACTGTCCGGTTTGGCCAATGTGTATTTATACCTCCCTACTGTATGTTCCACTCCATGCATCTGATGAAATGGGTTTTAGCCCATGAAAGCTTATGCCCAAATAAATTTGTTAGTCTCTAAGGTGCCACAAGGACTCCTCATTGTTTTTGCTGATACAGACTAACATGGCTATCATTCTGAAACATATAAATAATAATAATCCCAAATGATACAATTTCCCCAGTCCAATTTTGTCTTACATTGTTTCCTTTTATAATAGTATAAAGTGGAAAGGGTTGGTTTATGCTAAAATCCCAAATACTCTAGGGCCCAGTCCTTACTACAGCAAAAAACTGTGGAGCTTAGGACTAAGTTTAGGAGCTGTGTCTTACAGATAGTTAATGATTTCATCGGGGCAGTTTCTCTGATTAGCTTTCTCTTCAGAGTTGAAAGAAAATGTATATAAAATAGGGAATTATTGTAAAAAGGGATAAGTGACCTTACAGCACAAATTCTGGCTTTTCTGCAAGCTTCAGAGCCTCGTGCATCCCTGCAGCTGATAGTTTCCGGTTGATATTCCTATATCTGCATTGTAGTAGATTGCGATAGGTTGTCCTCAGGTCCCGATTGAAGAAGGCATATATAAAGGGGTTAATGAGAGAGTTTGCATAACCCAACCATAGAAATGTTCTTTCAACCCAAAATGGGATGCAGCTGCATGCTGTACCACAGATAAAGGGTCTGGCAGTTGAAAGGATGAAAAATGGCAACCAGCACACAGTAAAGGCCCCAACAATAATTCCCAGGGTAGTGGCAGCTTTTTGTTCTCTCTTGAAGATGGAAATGTTTTTTCTATCATGTTTAAGGAGTCGTGAAAAATTTGTACATTCTTCTGATTCCTTGTGTAGCTTTATAACTCCATTCACAGAAACCATGCCTTCATTTTCTTCTGGCCGTGGGAAACCAGCAAACTTGTGTTTAGCAGCACTCCTCTTAGCAGCCTTGTAAATCTGATAGTACATGAAAAGCATCACTGACATCGGGATATAAAATGCAACTGCAGTGGAGTAAATTGTGTAACCAAAGTCTTGACTGATTAAACAAACTTTTTCATCGTTCACATTTTGGGCCCAACCAAAAAGTGGTGGTATGGTGATAGAGGCAGAGAGGAGCCATACACACAAGATCATTTTAGCCATACATTTTCCATTCTGCCTCACAGGATATGTAAGGGGTCTTGTTATTCCAAGGTACCTAGAACAATAAGGTAGAGTTACTACATGGTTCATTGATTTATGGGTAAACTATTTCATGTGCCTGCCATAAAGAGATTGAATAAATATTTTAGATTTTATTTTACATTCTCTATTCCTGTCTTCTGCACTTTTTCAAACTTGCAGTTAATTCATGTCAACTTAATCACCTTTAGGATAGGCAGAACCTGCTTTCCTGTAGAGACAGTTATTCTCCTAGGGTAAAATCCTGTTGCCATTGAAGTCAATGGCAAAACTCCCATTCACTTCAGTGGGGCCAGGATTTCACCCCAGATGTAGAATCTTTCTAATTATGTAAAGACGGAATCATTTTTTGCTTACAAAAGTTTTTTATAAAAGATTCTGAAAGTTGGGTTTTTACTTAGCTAACGTCTGGAATTTAACCCTTGGTACATAGTCTACAATTCACCCAAAGAAGCAATTACTCTTTCACATTTTGACTTATCACTGTGCTTAGAGCAATATAAGTGATCGTACAAGAGGTATTCTATAAATAAAATGTATAGATCCACGCCACTAAACTGGATAGGATACATTGTTTTACTCTTACCTTTGTGCTTCCAAGAGAACCAACAGACTTTGCAATTGTATTCCATGATTCGATCATTTTAGTAGTACATTATAATACATTTTATGATTACATAATTAGAAAGAAATGCCATTTCTTCAACACTCACATCAAGTGTTTATTAACTAAACAAAATAAAAATACATTACAACTTTCAATTCAACAATGCTTGAGAACAAAGGCATCTAGCTATAACTGATAAAAGTTATTACATTTAGGATTACAAAAGACTAAGAAAACAAATTACATAAGTGCTATAGAAACAATAGGGTTTGTCATAGAGTTTATGAATAAAATGCAGTCTACTGACAGGTTTCCATGTTGTAAATATTTCTTAAATGTTAGTTGTTGAACTTAGAATACAAATATTTTATTCTAAGAAACTTTTATGACTCAAGTTCCATTTGGATGGTGAGACAACTGTAAAGTGCCACACTGGTGTCCTAATTGCAAGGTAGCAAATTATGGCTAATGCTACTTCTTTAAGTAAGAATCCAGTGGCAACAATCACTCAGCAACATCACTGACGTTAAGCATCACTGGCATGACAGGAGTGTGAAAGGTAGACTTTGGTAACTGTGCCATATCCTTCACAGCCTGGACTGGCCAGTTACAGTGAGCTTCTAGTCAAATCATTCTGTACTTCTGAAGTCTGGGTCAGGAGTGGGCTGAGAATGGTTATTGTGGTTGGCTGGAATTGCACCTCCATGATAAGTGATCGCATATTGTAACATAGATAGTATAAAAGTTATAGTATTTTTGTTGTTTTCATTCTCTCTCACCTTTTGCATTAGAATATTATCTTCTGCTAAGTCTTGGAGTCCTGGAGACAAGCTGTAGCTGTCATGGAGAATTCTATTCTGTGAAATCACTGACTGGAGATTGTGCCACCGTGATGAACAGAAAGTTCCCCAGGGCATTCCAAGATGTAAAAATCAGAGTTCATACTGGAAAGGTCTGGAGTTCAATTGTCACAGGACAGAAAGTGCCTGACCGAGGAGCCTTCAAAATGTCTATTTATTAGCTGAAGCATTTTAAGGTTTGTGTTGGTACTATAAATGGGTGAGGTACAACAGCTCACACTCACAATGAAGCCAATGGGAATACTTAGTTGAGGCTAGAAGGATTTAATCCCAAAAGAGTTAAATTACTAGCATGACTGAGCATTAATTAAAAGTCACTTGTAAAGCAGTTTCACAGTTCAGGGCAACTGAACCTGTATTTCCATTCAGTGGTTCAGCAGTGGCACCCACACTCAGGCTTCCAGCTGTTGCCTTTCTTGGGTGGAGTTCTGACTAGGGCAGAGGTCAGCAACCTATGGCACACGTGCCAAAGGCGGCACGAGAGCTGATTTTCAGTGGCACTCACACTGCCCAGGTCCTGGCCGCCAGCCTTGGGGCTCTGCTGCCGGCCTGCGGTTCTGTCCGACGGCCCCCTGCCAGCCGGGGTTCCGTCTGCCGGCCCCGGGTCCCAGCCACCAGTCTGGGTGGCTCCGCTGCTGGCCTGGGGTCCCGGACGCCAGTCCGGGGCTCAGCTCCTGGCCTCGGCCTGGCGCTCTGCAGCCACCCCCAGCTGTGGCCCACTGACTCCAGCCTGGGGCAGTGAGGGGTGCAGACAGGGGCAAGAGGAGGTGCAACTCAGCACCCCCACTTTAAAAATTGTTCCAGCACCACCGGGATATTTTTAAGTCCTGATTTGCTGCTTACATCACTATCATGCCACATGGAACAGTGCACTGCGTTTGATGTTGTGCGTCCCATCTGTCGCGATTTTTTTTCCCACTGTGATTTGAGGGGTACATTTGACAAAATGTCAGCTCCTAAGAAAGCAAACTTAGATATCTGTTCATTTCAGCCTTCTTGGACAGACATTTGGATTCATTCAAAAGAACGACTATGCTGTTTGTGCTTTCTGTTTTGAAAATGTTGTTTGTCGCACATCAAGTGTTCGACATTTTCAAATGAAGCACAAGAAAACCTTTCTTGACGAAGCAGACAAGACTGAATCGATCAAAAAGGCAGTAGCAGAATATGAGAAGCAAAGCAATGTTTTTAAATGCTTAAGTGTAAGTAAAAATCAAGCCACAGAAGGAAGTTACAAGATTGCACAGTGCATTGCATAAAACGGAAAGCCGTTTACAGGTGGGGAATATATAAAAGAAGTTTTTCTCAGAAATTCTGAGGTTTTGTTCAATGATTTGCCAAATAAAGATACAATTGTATCTAGAATAAAAGAACTGCCTGTCTCTGCCAGAACAGTTGAGAGGCGCATAAGCGAAATGGCAGAAAACCTTAACAAAAAGCAGACAACTGCATTAAAAGACACAGCAGTGTTTAGCGTTGCAATTGATGAGAGCGTGGATATAAACGACGTTCCATGTTTGGCAGTTGTTGCAAAATATTGCTTCCGGTGAAATCCAAGAGGAACTTTGTTGCCTAAAATCCCTGCATGGCACAACAAAGGGAGAAGATAGAGTGGAAAGTTTTGTAAACCATTTTGAAGAACGAGGATTTGACATCAGAAAAATATTTTGTGACACAACAGATGGTGCTTCTGCCATGGTTGGAAAACAGAAGGGATTTGTAAAGTTACTTGAACATCAAATTGGCCACCCGACAGTCAAATTTCACTGTATCATCCATCAAGAAAACCTGTGTGCTAAAATTTCTAATTTGGAGTTTAATAATGTGATGAATATAGTGGTGCAAATTGTGAATTTCCTTGTTGCTCAATCTGCTTTGACTTACAGACAGTTTCAAGCACTGCTAGAAGAGATGGACAGTCCTTATAATGACATTCACTTCACAGCAACATTTGGTGGCTAAGTTGTGGCAAGGTTTTGGTGCACTTTGTAAACTGTTTTGATGCAATCAAGGCCTTTTTGTCGGAAAAAGGACAAAACTACCCCGAACTGGATGACAAATGGCTGTGTAAGCTCATGTTTCTAACTGACATCTCCACTCACCTAAACGAACTAAACCTCTGTCTCCAGGGTGCAGGCCAAACGGTTCTGGATCTTTATGAAGCCTGGAAGACATTTGTTGTAAAACTAGCAGTTTTTTCTCAGGGTATTCGAACTTCAACTTTCCGCTACTTCCAACACATAAAAGAGCTATCGACACGTTGGAATGTCAGTGTCAATGAGATTGGAATGTACATGCAAGAACTGGAATCAGAATTTTCTGACAGATTTCAAGATTTCCAGCAATTTGGCCCAAAGCTTTCTTTTCTAATTAAACCTGAAAAGTTCAACGAAAGCGACTTGGATTTGTCTGTATTTCAGTGGATGGGTGTTGAAGATTTCGAAACGCAGCTCATTCAGTTAAAAAGCTCAGAACTGTGGGCATCAAAGTTTGGAGATCTGCACTTGAAGCTACTGAGAGAGATCATGGGGCCTCTATTCTGACCTGCTGGACGTCCCTGCCAGTAAAATTTAACTGTTTGAAGAAAATTGCGTTTACAATGCTTTCAGCATTTGGATCCACATACCTGTGTGAACAGGCATTTTCACACATGAAATCTGTTTTCTGTCCCCCTCGGAGTGGGTTAACAACTGATCACTCAGAAGCCTGTGTGCATCTTAAAGTATCCAAATACGTGCCAGACATTGGAAAACTCAGCAAGGAAAAGCAAAGGCAAAGATCACACTAAACTGATAAGGTTGCCGACCCCTGGACTAGGGTATTTCCAGGCTGGACAGTTCCCTGCCTTCACTGTCTTATTCCCAGCAGAGACAGGCTGCCCAAGCATACCTGCTTGATTTCTCTTCCTAGATGGTTAGCAGAGTGATTGTCTACAGTTTTAAGTTCCCATACAGTTCTTTCTAGGCAAGCCTATTTTATTCTTAAACTAAAAACCATTACAGAGAAAGCATATTAAGAAGCTGCATGCATGCTAATAAGCTCGCCAGAGATTAACCCAACTCTAGCATGGGCTTTGGAAGGAGCAGCTCTTCAGTGCCCCACCCAAGGGGTTTCCTTTCTGATGACAATCTCATAACAGTTTCAGTTCAGAACAAGCATGGTCAGAACACTGTGGGTATGTCTACACTACGAAATTAGTTCGAATTTATAGAAGCCGGTTTTATTGAAACCAGTTGTATACAGCCGATTGTGTGTGTCCCCACATAAAATGCTCTAGGTGCTCTAGTCGGCGGACCGCGTCCACAGTACGAGGCTAGCGTCGACTTCCAGAGCATTGCACTATGGGTAGCTATCCCACAGCTATCCCACAGTTCCCGCAGTCTCCGCCGCCCCTTGGAATTCTGGGTTGAGATCCCAATGCCCGGATGATGCAAAAACAGTGTCGCGGGCAGTTCTGGGTACATGTCGTCAGGCCCCTCCCCCCGTCACAGCAACGGCAGACAATAGATTCGCGCCTTTTTACCTGGGTTACCTGTGCAGACAACATACCACGGCAAGCATGGAGCCCGCTCAGCTCAGCTGAG